GTGTCTCAGGTGTGCAAATGGCAAGGTGTTTAGGTTTTGGAGGACTGTGACTCCTTAGCAGACATGCATAGCCCATAGTGATCATCATTAACAATTGGATTTTCCAGTTCAAAGTCCCCCTGGATTTTCAGGACTCTGCTTGTGCTCCCAGCAGCAAGCCAGATGCTCATCCTAGTAGTTCTCTTGAGGAAGTAGGCTCATTTCAGACAATGGGATTGGAAAAATTTTTGCTGGAACTAATGGGTTTCCCGGCAGGCTCTTTACTTCCAGTCTTGTTACTTAAAGAGGCCTCAAATGCCCCTCTCCATCCTACTTCCTCTTTGCTATTATCCTATTCCTACTTAGGTCTTCCCACATTGCCCCAGAAACTTTATGTAAGGTAATGAGAAAAGGGTTGGCGAGATGGAACCCCATTTTGGGCTTGGAGCTGATGATCCCATTAATTCCTTCTGATGATGAGCAATTACTAAAAAGAGCATGTGTAAAACCCAATAGCTACTAAAGCTTTGTGACCTAATTAGGGCCATATCTCAGTTTCTGCCTTTTCCCCTCTTCCTCGGGTTGTAATGGCTTGGTTTTTCTCTTGTGAGTTTTCTGAAGCAAAACAGGTAGCTTTATCTTTCTGTCACAGGTAGTTAACAGCTGGAAACACTGCTCTGGACTAAGAGAATTCTTGTTATGAAGGAATGTTTAGGGGTATCTGCCATATTCTTGGCAGACTGGCAATTTCTTTCCTTAATGATCCTTGGTTAGTCAGTCCGGGTTCAGGCCATGACTTAACGTGGCAGATGACCCTACTGCTCAGCCAGTAGCCAGATACTGTTCCTAACTCATGATGTGGAGACACTAACAATTTTTATGTTCGAGCCATTAAAAAAAAATTGTTTAGGGATTGTTTGGTGTGTTTTGTTTTTGCTATTGAATCCCTTGCATATGTTTGGATATCAATCCCTTATCAGATAGGTGGTTTGTCAGTATTTCAGTATCTTCTATTTTGTAGGTTGTCTTTTCACAGCATTGCTTGGTTTTTTGTTTGTTTGTTGACATGTAAATCTTTTTCATTGGGTACAGTTATACTGTGTTTGTTTATTTTTGCTTTTGTTGCTTGTGCTTTTAGTATTATATCCATAAAATCACTACTAAGATGAATGTAAAGGATTTTTTCCTTCTGTTTTATTCCAGGGGTTTTATCTAGTCTTATATTTAAATCTTTAATTCATTTAAAGTTAATTTTTATGATTGGTGTAAAAGAGGGGTCTATGTTTACTTTTTTTTGCATGTGAATATTTAGTTTTCTCAACACCATTTATTGAAGAGAATTCCTAGGTTCGCTTAGTTGGCTGTCTATACATGGATTCATTTCTGGGCTGTTGAGCTTGTTCGATTGGACTATGTGTCAGTTTACCTGGCAGTATTGTTCTGTTTTGATTACTTTCTAGCATATTAATATAACTTGAAATCAGGAAGAGTGATGTCTCTGGATCTGTTATTTCTCAGGATCATTTTCCCCTTTCCATAAGAAGTGGCCCATGTTTACAGTTGAGGAGTGAACTCAACCTATGAAAGTTTAAGAACCCCAAAACCTCTTTTCATTGAATACTTTCACTGTTTCTTTCTGTCATGTGTGATAGAATTCCTTTAGAAACTTGAAGAGATCCTTCTGTGAATATTAATGTAAGAAACACTGCCTTGAGGTTGGGAGGTTAGAAAATGAGTACATGAACCAGTAAACTACAAGACCCAGTATGCCTTGCATCTCCCACAGGAAGTAATGCTGTTTACCCTCCTGTGGACCTGAGAGAGAAGGTCTCCAGAGCTAAACAGAGAGATGCTGGTCCAGAATTCAGGGACATGCAATCTACTCACCTTTCTCTTTTTTATTTCCAAATAAACTCTTTTTGTTTTTAGAATAACAGATTGCTTTTGTTGAGCAATCTCTCTTTCTCTCCTGCTCTCTCTGTGTATGTACATATATGTGTTATATACATGTATGTATTATATGCAATATAATTTGTGTGTATATATAATTGACATGTCTATATAAATTTATAGTCTATCACACTAAGCAAAAGGCACACCAACAAATCTGTTTAACATAACCCATTTTCTATCTTCAGCTTTCTGTGATACTGTTATGGGGAAACATCCCTCAGGTTCTTGGAAGTCCTAATGTTTATTTATTTATTTTAAAAAAGACTTATTTATTTATGCATGCAGAAACTAGGGTACAGGCCAGAGGTATGGGCAGGGGTATGTGTGTGAGAGGATTCACCAGAGACAGATTGGGGAAGAGAACAGATGGACTGACTGAAATACATTGCTGAGGGGAGCAGTGGGTGAGACAGGAGAGGTCTGCTGCCCATGTGGGTAGCTCCCTGGCCTATGGGGGATTGAACTCATGCTGAAGAGGCTGCTTAACAGTGCTGTGCTTAACCCCTTGCCCCACCTACGAGGCCCGGAAGTCCTAATGTTTAATGGCCAAGATCTTCCAGACATTTTCTTAAGATCTTTGGAAGGTTTATTGTCTGTTTGAAAGACCACATAATATACAGCTTTCAGTATTTTTGATGACTTAATAAAGGATCTTATAGTTCCCCCACCTCAAACTCACACCTGATCTTTGCCCTGACACCATTTCTTCCTTTGAGAATCTTTTTTTGACGAGAGAGATTAGAAATGGAAAAGAGCTTCCTCACAGCGTGGTAGCCTCAGACTGGCCAAATTCTTAAATGGTGGCTCAAGACTCCCATATTAGTGTCCCAGAAAAAAAAAAAATGGAAAGGACATTGTCTTTTTATTTCGGATATTGTTTCAGAAGTCACAAACCTATGTCTGCCACATACTGTTGGTTACATTTGAGTTACAACTCTGTCAAGATTCAAGAGGAGGGGCATAGACTGCACCCCTCAATGGAAAGATCGTGAATAATCATGCAAATATATATGAGCATACATAAAATCCAGGTATACGGTTTGTGTATGTGTATTAAAACTGATGTGTTATCTAAGTTTCAAACCTATTAATTCATGATGTGAATTAGTTAATTCAGGTATGAGATAGTTTTCCCCTAAAAATTCAGAGATAGTAAGTCAGGCAGAAGATAATTCTCAGTTTAAGGGACCAGATATATCTTTCTTTAGCTATCCAAAGGACTAGACCATGGGTGGCAATTTTTTTTTTTTTTCTGTAAGGGGCCAGATTGTAAATATTTTAGGCTTTGCAGGCCATATGGTCTCTGTTGCAACTCATCAACTCTGCTGTTATAGCACAAAAGTAGCTATAGACAATACATAAACAAACTAGCATAGCTTTATTTTAATAAAACTTTATTTATATAAACAGGTAGTAAGCCAAATTTGGCCCCCAGGGCAGAGTTTTCCTGACTTCAGCTTAGAAGCTCGTATTCTCCACACTGGTCCTGGAAGAGATGGCACTAATGGTGATTTTGAAAAGTGATCCTGATAGTGCGATGTCTGGACTTAAGTAGCTTGAGATGCTTTTCCCTCTGACTTCTGATGGTGGCTGACTGAGGGTCTGAAGCTGCTCCTGGATTACCCTTGTGGTGAAAGTACCAGCTGGGAAAGTCTACATAAAAATTTATTTACACAGAAATGAAATTGGTTTTGAAACAAAGACTTGGCAATATAGTTTCTCTATTGAAGCACAGTGACTTTTCAGTCTTGGCGGATAAACAGGCCTATCAGCAGATCTTTGAGAACTCTTTTGGGACCCAGCTTAGTGGAGAGCATGGGACAGATTCTGTTCCATGGCTCTAATTCCAGGGAAAATTCTTTGTTGTATTAGGACAGTTCCTCTGTCTCAAGAGATAGTCTGGAAAGCCAGAAAATGATCAGAACAGCAACTTTCAGTGAGGACCAAATGAGAAGCCAAACATTGAGATTCAGGGCACAATAAAAGCTGATAGAAAGATTAGGCTATGTCATTATCAGAAAAACATCAGAAGGATCAATGATCTCTGGCTTAGGACCTAATTTATCACCTATCCCTTCATGATCTGTGTCAACGCCAGATCTTACCCTTTCTGGTTAGTAATCTATGTTAGAACAAAGGCGAGAGAGTGACATTTGACTTAATGTCACAGCCCTTTGTCTGCTCTCTCTAAACTCCCAAGTTAAATCAGCTCCAGTTATTTATATGGTCTTTGGGGCTGTGTTTTAAGAGAAAAAAAAGTGTTTACCCTTATTTATGGTTCTAACTCAAAGGCTAAGCTGTAATGTAAAACAGCTAACATGTCACCCAATAGTTGCACACAATTATTTTGGCACAGAGTTACATTTTCATTCTTTTTCATGATTTCAGTCTAAGAACATATGGAATAGGATTGCTGCCATGGAAGAAGCAGTCCTACTCCTACAGTTCTGTTTGCCTTTCTCCTCTATTTCTTTTGTCTCTTGTAACCACAGGATTTGACCATGCAGGGATTATTATCCTATTACATTGGCTGTCTACCATGCAGACATAGATCACCTATTGATATCATTGACATTTTTATAAGGTTAAAAATGGTATTGAGGTTCTAAAGGTAGGCAATGATTACTGGAGTGTGGAAAGGCAAGAAGATCCAGTAATAGGGGTGAAGGGCACAGATGATTTTTCAAAATTTTTTCTGATGCTTACTAGTGTTTATGGCACACATCAACCTGTTAAATCTCCCTGAAAAACAATTTATCTGTAAAACAGAGGTGATTATAAAACTACAGTGGATTCTTGTGAAGATTGCATTTAATGGTTTTAATTAAGTGCTTGCTGCATTGACATGCACAATGTATTCCCTCAATTAATGGAAGCTATGATAGATATTATCAATGTTCATTTCTTCCTCCCAGCCTGATGTCCACAGAGTTATGTAATTTATATTCTATTCATGTTGGATTTTGCCAATTGACTTACTTGGGCCTGAGGAATGTAGGTAAAAATGACAGAACAAGAATTCTGATCCTAGACTTTAAGGGCATCTTGTGTTTCTTTTTGCTCAGCAGGTAGGCACTGTTCTTCTTCCCAGAGAACCTGGGTCCCAAAATGGGACAAAACTACTCCAGAAGACTTGAGACAGACCTGGAATGTAGACTCAGTGATAGGAGAGTTCAGCTAAAGATGCCTGCACCCCATCTGACCTGCGGACACATGGGTGAGAAATCATTGACTATTCTACAGATATTTTGTAGATATTTGTTATGCAGCAACAGCTGACTGATACAACCCAGAAAAGATTACATAAACACAAAATGAACTTTCAGCATATGCATGAGGGAGACAAAGGAATAAGAATCAGTAAAGCTAGTTATTTTTCTCACTGCCAGAAATGTGTATGGTCTTTGGAGCAATAGAATTTGCTATGTGACTCTGGTTTCTTTTGATGTAAGAAGATTATATTCATTTAAGATGGTCTAATATAATATCAATTCTAGCTATGAACTTTTCTATATCTATAGAATTAATGTCCTATGACCATAGACTAATCTGTAGAAACAGGAAGGCTTAAAGGAACTCTAATTAAAGCCAGTAAAGTGACAAATGGCATGAATAAATTAAACAGAGTATTTTCCCTAAATTCCTGGCACAATATAAAGAAGGACCCTTGGAGAGTTGGAAGAATTACATTTAGGGTCCAATAGAAGAGCCACTTTTATTGTTGAAAGAAACTTTGGGAGCTTCTTTTCACAAAGTTCTCTCAAAGTAATCATTCCGTTATCCACATGTATAAACTTTTAGTTTCAATAAAGCTTTTGATTACAGAAATATGGAGTCACCTATCTTGTAACTACTGATTCTGAGACTATAAAATGTCTAAGTCATGTGGTGGGACAAGTAAAAGACTGGCCATACATGTGTTCAGTTCAGTGTCTGGTTGTGGTCTTCTCAAATATTGAAAGTGGTGAGGTCCTTGAAAGTTGGCAATTTGATATTGAGTGTGACAAGATTCAAAAGATGATGTTGCACCCAGAGAAAAGTCTCAGAAAGGCATTCGCAGTGAAATCCAATCAGTTATCAGACAGACCACAACTATGGTGATATTTCTGACACAATTGGAAATTTCTTACTCATTTTATCTACTGATTTATACAAATATTTGATTGTACCTGAAAAGTTGCAAGAGTCTGGAGTTAATTACCAATTTTGAGGACATCTGTCTTCATTCATTTGCTACTATGATCCATAAGGTAAGTGGTCTATAAAGTTTCTGTCAATGATTGAAGATAAAGGCAATAACGGATTTGCATTCTCAAATGTGGGGTTCTCCTGAAACCAAGTAAATGATACTTGGTATGTTTTATTTCATGAGGTGAATTTAACTGATACTTTACTAAACTGTGCATATTATTCCCTTTTTAGGACCCTATTAGATTTTCCATAATGTTGATATAATGAATTTATTGCACTCTATTCAAAAGGGATATTATGTCAGCATTGGGGTGGCAATTCCTTTGAAGGTGGTAACTGTAGATGAAAAACCTTTGCTATAAGGCTTTATACCTTTCTATATCATGCTTTTTGGTCAAGTAGCTTGAATCAGAATTTTGGTAAGGAGATATTTAAATATAAAACACTGAAAAAGAAGTCTGAATATTCAGAATCTTTGTTTAGATCTATAAGTAATGCAGTATGGCCCATACTAAGTCTATTTATTTCACTTGCATTGTTTTCATATTGAAGAATTTATAATTCTTTCCTTTTCATATATATATAACTTGAATATAAAAAGCTCTGAGTATTTCTACTGTATATTTCTCTGTGTAAATTCCTGTGGTTCAGAACTCTTAAAATATCTTTCTGTTTTATAAAAGCAAGCTTTAAATGACAATGAAGTAAAGTTAGATGTGTATGTTTTTATATCTGTATCTATATCTATATTTTATATCTATATCTATGTGAATATGTATGTATACAACACCTGGATTTCATCCAGAGAGATTTTTATATAATTAAGCAGAGGGAAGCCTGGGCATTGATGTGATTCTAATATACTCCAAGGTTGAGAACTACTTTTCTAAATCTCGAGTTAGTACTTCCAATTCCATATAACAAAGCTGTTGGTTGACAAGAGGTTTTTCTCATTTTTAAATGACACTGTAGGTTCCTGGTTGGTCAAGTTAGTATTTTTTTTAAAGATTTATTTATTTATACAAGAACCAGGACACAGGCCAGATGTGAGGGAGGGTAAGAAGATTCACCAGAGACAGAGTGGGAAACAGAACAGGCAGACTGAAGAAACACAATGCTGAGGGGAGCAGCGGGTGAGACAGGAGAGGTCTGCTGCACCATGTGGGACCCTAGCCAGCTGGCTGGGATTGAAACGGTGCTGCAGAGGCTGCGGACAGCTTCACAGCACAGTGCTCAACCACCTGTGCCATCAGGGAGGCCCTGGTCAAGTCAGTATTAACCATTTTTTTTTTTCTTGTGCAACAGGAATCAGATATGGGAGTCAAAACTAATAGGACTCTTTATGATCCTTCATGTATTAATTTTTATTTTTCTTGATTTATAAAATTAGCCTAACCTCCATAGGAACCTAAGCATCTCTCCAAACTCTGTAGTTTCTCCAGTCTCTCATATATTTTGACTCTGGGACATGGAACCAATGCCTGTACTGCCCTTTCTGGCTTTTCTCTTGACATCTGTCTTGTTCTATTGCAAACAGGCATCTTTCACTCAGCATCCTAATATCATGCTGAGAGAGTTTTTAGCATCCAGCTTGTAAGCTAGGGTGAATCTTGAAGTTGGCTTTCTACTGGAATATAATCAGCATGATCCAAGGGTCTTTCCAGTCCATATCCAGCTGGAACCTTCCTTTAGGACAAGCAGTGTGAGTAGATGCCATATGTCAAGGAATGAGGGCAGTCATATGGCTGTAGGGGGAGAAAGATGAATAGTAAGACGGACTTTTTGGTGAAAAGAACTTTCCAGGTCTAGGTGGTGAATCAGATTTAAGACGCAGGCCATTTCTTCTGGGTACAAGTCTTTTTATCATAGGAAAGATGTATTTCTTCTCATCCTCGAACTGGATCAATAAAACCCTTTTCCATAGAAGCTAAAACAGTTTCTCACAAAGTCAAATCAGAGTGAGTAGAGAGAGAAATTGACTCACAAGGGTGTGCAGAGAAGACTCATCCATATCCCTCTCCTTCAATCCTTCTTAAAGTGATAGAAGAGCTGTGAGAAAGAATAAATACATAATGGCATAGGAAGGAAGAAAGGGCACCATGAGTAGACAAGAAAATTGAAACATTCTTAGTATATAGGAAACAGGTATGATCAGACTATGGAGAAACAAAATTGGAGGAAACTGCATATGGGGGAATTAGACTGTGGCCAAGCAGATGTCATTTAAGAAAAATTCCTGTAGTCAATAAAATGGAAAGAACCTTAGGAGTCCACCCTGACCTATTTGCAGGTCTCATTTGTATGGTAGCATAGCCCTCATTTTTATTAGTAATACTTGATAAGGATCCACATCCCCAAATCCTTTATCAGTGTGTACCTCTGTTTCAGGTGGAGAGGTACAGATGACTTAGATCTCTAACTCATTCTATGATGTTAATTATAGGAGAAATCATACTGTTTATTACTACGATGACAAGGATTCTCAGATTCTGAGCTATACAATTACCTGTAAAAATTTTTGAACTATAGATACCTTGGTTCCAATCAAAATTTGAATCTTTGAGATTCCAAACATCTACATTTCTAAAAATTCCTAGAGGAGAATCTAATGCTTTCAGGGTCGAGGTCTGCTCTTATAAGGTGTTCTCCCCCAACTCACCGCCCCAGAATCTGGTATAGATTTGTGGTCTATGCCAAGATTAATTTTACACGTGCTTCAGAAGGGCAACAGATAGAATGGAGAGGCTGAAAAAAATTAGTACACAGCTTAAGAAAACTTTTCAGAGCTTATAAAGATATTCTCTTAAGATCAAAAGGCTCTCTGGGTACTGAGGAGAGGCATGAAGGAAAAGCCCATACATGGAATCTCTGCATAGAAATTTCAGAACATGCAGCACAAAGTTGACAGTTTGAACACTTCAAGAGCCATCCTATCTTGCATCCAGAGTTGTATAATTCAAGAGAGGAGATAATTCAGAAGCTTTTTGCTTAATATTTCTGACACTACATGTTTCTGTATCATTTCTTCTATAAAGTGGGAAAAATAATAGTTTAGAGAGTTAGATAAGTTAATACATAGAAAATTCTTATAATGGTGACTGGTACATGATAAGTGATCAATAAATATTTGTTATTATTTCCAAAATAAGTGTGTTTATTATGACAATTCAGTATTTTCCTTATGCAAAATATACAAGATACATAATTTGATGACTCCAGGGAGTCACTATTTTTGCTGTCATTGTGGTACTGCTTCTAGAGGTGCATTAGGCACAGAGCCTGCACTGGATGCTCTCCATGTGCTGCCAGCATGGCCATTTTGAAGCTTTTAAAGATGTATCAGGTAGACTCACATAAGTGGGATAGTATACTCAAAATGTATTATACTACTTCTAGCCTTCAGTTATAAGCAGAAAATATGAATGAGGATGCTGAACACAAGAATGTCACTTCTTGAGGTATCTGGTTAACCCCCGTGATCGAGCATCTGAGACCTGGGAGAACTTGGATCAATTCCATAGAATGAGCCAGAGATCCTTGTCTATGCCATAGAGTCTGTAGCCAAATTGAAGTCGCACTGTAGGAGTTTGGGAACAATCCCAGGAACTTGGCAGCCTGAACATACTCAATGACCTTCTTGAAACTGACATCTCCCTGTGGCTGCTCAACTCTCCTTGCAGTCTTCTATCTCTTTTTTTTTTTTTCCACTTGCAAAGCTGAAAGGGACAGTCGGAAAATTAGTTCTATGGATATAAAAGCCCAGTCCTGCATTCTTATGGTCCTTAAGACAAGTAGAGAAAAACTGTGTAAATGCTGGCTCAAGAGTAATAAAGTCACAGGAGAGATAGGGACTAAAAGTCTTTTTGTCCATTTTTTCAAAATCTTTTCAGAGGGATTAGGTTTGGTAAAACTGGGATACCAATGAAGGGTACCACCATATGCTACTGCAAAATATGGCTCTTTGGCATATGGATTATTTTGAGGTAATGGTACCAGGAACCAGCAGTGTAGGAAAAGCTAAAAATC